GTCATCCTCTTGTCTCTCCAGTTGTTGTAGAATTTCTCGTTCACGTTTCTAAAAAAAATTGGCCTTAGCTTATGGTTAAGACAAAAAGCAATAGGATTTCCAGGCCACTCATAGCAATGATGTGAACCCAAGATCTGAGTTCACCCTTAAGCTTCTTTGAGGAATCATCGAAAAAAAGTAATTGAAAAATCATCATAAGGTTAACAGTAGGGTGGGAAATGCAAGGCTACGAACTAAATACGGAGGTATTCCAAACTCCGTTACATGAACCACTATCATAGTGAGTGCGTGATTGTCGGGTAGTCGGTATGACTGTTCGTTTCTCGACAAAATGCTCTGGGGGTGATACAAAAAACGTGGTAGAGTAACCAATGCTAGAAAATCAGATTTTGAGCTAGCAGCCCGATCTGATGGGTTACCATGATAGTGGTAACATCCTCATACATACTATATGTATACAAGCACATTTGGCACACTTGCCGCATTGCAGAAGGTAGTAAGTTAGCACTCAGAGTTCAGCATCTGTGATCTGCCGCACACTCGCAGAAAAAGGGATGGGATGACGATTCGAGGGATGACGGAAGAAAGTTGTAAGACAAGCTGTAGTCATCACGTCACCTACTTACCCTTCCGTGGCGAATCTATACGGTCTAAGTTCGCTCAGGGATGCCGCCAATGAATTATTGCTTCTAGATAGCACAGAAAAATAAGGGGAGATGTCATTCGATAGATCGAATTCTATAGACTTAGGCCATGACGGTGCTATTACAGAATGAGAAATAAAGCATTTGGCGCCCATCGATCCCTCTTCGGGATGCGCCACGCATTCTGCTCCTGGTCAGAATCGTGGTGGCACTTTCAATGTGATTTAGATTACAAAATAGCTTGGAGACCAGTCTATTTACATAACATTGTTTTTATCCTCGCAGAGAAGTCTGGTACCTTTTTAACGACGGGAAGGAACGGATGGCTTGTTAGCCTAGGCGCGTACAGTCTCGAAATTCTTCCCTGCCTGGACCGTGTCTGTGGTAAGCAGCGCTTTTGTTACTACACCACTGCTGTTGATTATTCTAACTTGACGGTGAAATATGTATGTGTTGGAAGAGGTAGAAGATAGCAAAGAAATTTTGGTAAATAGCGATGCATACTTGCGTACGTAAACTATGCTATTTCACAAACATCATGGCCAGTAGTGCTATTGGCAGCTTCCCAAAAAAGTTTATGTGCGACCGAACGGAATTGCAAAATATCAACTCTCCTGCCATGTATTTCAAAATGGAATAAAAGATGAGATTACTCAGCCAGTTAGTTAATTAACTGTATGAAAGTAGCTGCTGTAACTAACGACGAAGGCCACAAGCTTCGCTCGGCAATTCTCGCACCGGCGATTTCGTAGCATCAAGCTTTCCGCTGTCGGTATGATCCAAAAGATCAGTCCCACCGAGAAGTTTGCTTTCCATTTTGGCGATTGTTTCGGCTACTTCTCGTTGTGCTTGTTGTTCCCGTTCCAGTTGACGTTGCCGCTCTTCAAGATCAGCAATGATCCGTCGACGTTCCTAAAAAATGTAGCTGAACCTGTAAGCGAAGGACCATCGGATTCAGGCTTGCGAGATGGTTCGCTGGTTGGACATCTTCGAGCCGCCAACGCGTACTCATCGACCATCATACCCGCCTATTGAGCCCTTCAAATGCGTCTCAAACGCTTTCCCATATTTCGTCGCTGTCGACGAACAAAAGAAAAAAAAAGAGAAATAGAGAAGCGTCCTCCTGAATGAGCGTCTTATCTTTGAGGGCATTCTCTCGATCAGCAGCAATTTGACGGTGCTGCTCATCGAAATACTCTTCGCCACGTGATTCGTCAAGCTCTGAAATTTCAAGGGGAAATTGGGATAATATAAATGTGTCACGGGAAAGGAAATAAAAAAAGGCTCGGCAGGAAACAGTTCGAACAACTTTTCAAAGGAACAAACCTCCTCCTCGACCTTTCCGCCTTGACCGCTTTTCCAGCATGGCGCGCAATCGCATGATTTCGTCCTAAATCCATCATGATAATTTCGATGAAAAAATAAGAAAGTTTTAAAGGCACTATTGACAATAAATCTGGCTAGATCAATAACATCCGTACGCCCTAACATAAACCCCGTATCGCCACTCACACACAACAAGAATGAGCCTATCTCCTCATAAATCGCCTGCCCGCTCATAGGCGAATAACACCAGTTAAGACAGGCGTGCAACTCACTTGGAACTCTCGCAACATCGCATCTTTCGGATCCTCGTTGATCTTCGGCTTGTTCTTGATGTTCTTCGCTCGATTCGCGTATCGTAATGTTCCTGAAGACAGCTATTTCATTTCAAAATCATAAGCCGCATAGCTTCATTTCAAAACAGAATTAGGAAAAAGTCCTTCTCAAAACAGGATCTAGGAAAAAAGCCTTTTTACACACCTAGCGTTTCTTCATAATTATATGAAGCTGGTCCTATACATGCCACCATTACCGTCTTCGAATTTCCACCAAGCGAATCTAAATTTCAGATTATTTACTGACACCCTACAACAGCTTATGGCATCAAAATGACAAATGTAGTTCCAGTTACTTATCCGGTATGTAGCGCGAGCGGTCGCAACGCGGATTGAAGGCGCAATCAAGACAAAAGAAAAAACAAAGCAACTAACCTTGTAGGAGTCGTGTTAACTTGCTATCACGATACGGTATATGCGTGCTCTTGCCGTCGACCAAAGCCGAGATGACGTTACCGAGGGCTGACAATGAGAGATTGATCTTTGTCGCCTCCTGAATTAGGAATGCATAGGGTTGGGCCAAAAAACGCGAGATCCGAGAAAAGCTATTCTCACTTTGAACCTCTCCCCAATGGCGCCAGTCTTCGCTTGCCTTTCACTGCCAGCCAAATCGACGAGATTCAAGCGGCCAACTCTGAATATCAACATCTCAACTGCTGGACTATAGGACAGACAAGGAAGAAGTTTCAAAACATTGCGAATACATGGGCTACGGTAGGCATCCAATAGGCTTCCTTACAGCATATATTGGCTTTCGTTTGCAGATTCTCTAGCAGTTTGTTACCTACGGGTACCCCTTATGGACGAATAAGTAACAGAGCGAAGAACTCATAGATAAAATGATTTCAAACCTCTCGGAAGAAGTCGTGGCCAGCGTCAGCCGTCGCATTCGCAGTTTTCCGAAAATTCCGTGGTCCCCTCCCCTTCTTCAGGAGTCTCGATGCGGCCCCTCACCATCACTATTAATCTGAGGAAGCTCTTACGATACGATACGATATTCCTCTTACCCCAGGCACCACCCTAGGCATTATGGCTGTTTCTAGAGAATTTGATTCTGGGACCATTCCACGCACCGAACAACGTAACTCCGCTTAGGTGGATTTTACCCTAATTTTGTGGAACTTTTGCCAATCATAATGAGAATCCTATCGAAGATACCCACTATATAAGACCCCCGTTCACAATTTTCCCAGAGGTATTTAATCTTGCACAATCCCAAAATGTCTTCCCAAAATCACTGTGCGACCACCTCGTTCGAATAGTTTGGACGGACGGTTGACTCGGATAGCGACCACAGACGAAAGCGTGAAAAACCGATAACGCCTCTGAAGAGCTTGATACGAAAAGCTGTGCGAAAGACAGGGCCGGTGGACGCAAAATGTTCTTAACGCAGCAGGTTCGCGCGAAACGATCTTCTGGAGTTTGCAAAAGCAGCGCAGGGCCTAAAGCGTACTTACCCCTCACCATATGCGCTCACTCACTTTCGAAGGCTCTCGTCGGCGTATTAAAATTTTCATGGAAGTTCATGAGCGTGACCGAGAAACCATCAAGGAGATCCTGGACCCTTCACAATACCTACCGTATATGATTCTCCCCATCGGGATCTGTTTCACAGCATTCCACCGTGACAATGAAGATGGCGTGCGATCTGCTCGAGTGCTCATTCATATTGGTCCGTCTTAAAAGAGCTATTTATATTGTATTCAACTTTTATCACACATTCGAAGAAAGAAAAGATTTCAAGTGGCAAAAGACAATAGATGCTTTTGAATACTCACCCAACCGATCGATTTGCATTTCCCACAGCCATCACTCGCTCTATTTCCTCTACAGATTTTGTCAGAAATGTCGTGAGGTCCTTCACGTAGACACCAACGTCAGGCTTTTCTTTCAATTCCAATTTTACCCGATCATCTTTACTGAGTAAATCGCGGAGATCTTCCTGTAGATTTCATTATGGGAACCTTCTTCATGGAAAAACATTGACAAAACCTTCAAGTTGAATTAAAACTAACCTGATAAATTTCCAGGTAACTGGCCCGTACAAGATATTTCTGATTTCGAGATCGAGCAATGTGTTGAAAAATGTGCTCGAAACAATTAAAAATAACACCTCGTTCGTCAGGAATCGAGGGTTTTGCCCTGCAAAGCGATAAATTGAATGCAACACTTGAGTCAATCTTGAGAAAATGCTCCCTAACCTTCCATAAAGTGTAGCGTTTTGCAGTACGTTTGGACCGTACGCAAATAATAGTGCCATGTGAACCCGGTTTCAATACTGAGTCGACTAAATCCCGCCACGTTCGTCGTATGAGAGTTCGGAGTTGCTTATGAACTAAATTTGCGTCATAGAGGGATCATCATGGGTTGTTCTAGAATATGATATAAATTCTATTATTTCGGATTAAAAATGTATCGCGACTTGTGGCACCTTTCATAAAAAATTTCAGGAGTTCTTCAACCAAATGTTTTGTCTTTCAATCAATAGATTTGCCAAATGCCTTTCCACACACTAACATACAATATTTTAATAAAGGGTCGTGTCTTTCCGAATAGCTCACCAACCATTCCTTGGGTCAAAAGGAAACGAAAGAGGGGCACAGAAGAATTTGAAGGAGAAAAAATAGAGTTTAGTAGAACAACCAAAACAAGGCTAGGCTCTGCTTTGGAGGAGGATTCCACGAAGTCGAAGAAGGAGCAATTCACCTAGTTGAGAGGCAGGCGGACCCCCTAAGGGTGCGGACCAACACGCAATTCGCATCGAATAATTATGACCTCTCTAACATGGCTCACTCTTGGCGCGGTTGGCGGGGTACGCCCACCGACGATCTAATCACTCGCCGCAGGGTATTCTATACGTGGCGAGCGATTAGATAGCAGAAAGAGCGTAGTGTTGAAGAGGGTGTTGTCGTCAGGATTTGCAAACAACCCGGCTTCAAGTTCAACTTCCACTACATCTTATAAGTTACTTTTCACTTTGAAGTCAGCTGTCACCATCGTTTTGCACGGGAGCCGTATGAGCAATGCATTCCGAATTAAACTGAGTAAGATGACTGCTTTGAAATTAAACCCTTTGATTTCATGACGATACCTTTCGTTGTAAATAGCATCAAAGGTGAAGTCCTTGGATGGTTCTTGCAAATCTTTTGGATTCCGCAATTCCACAAGTCCTCGTTCCGGATACATGGAAACGATGCTAAAGAAGCATATATTCGTCAGAACTGCAGAACGAATTTCCAAGAATATAATTCAATCAGAAATATCCAACCTTTGATGTCCTTGGCTGATTTCGACTTCGGACAGCGGACGACATCGCACGATCACTCGCACCGCTTCCTGCTTACCCGTTCGTGGACGCCGATCATCAGCAGTCATTGTAGCAGAAACGGAGGAGTATCACTTAAACAAGAGTTCCATAATGTCAAAAATGTTACTGTATTTCTGAAGCTTTAAATTTGTGTGTAAACATGGTCCGAGTCATAAGTCATGAAAGACCGCGATTATAACCGAAGGTCAAAACGATTCACATGTAAGGACTCGCAGCAACAGAATCACTGCTCAATGTTGATGCGCAGATTGTCTTGCTTATTTCACGAAATTGTTGTGGGATTTCAAAGAAAAAGTGAAAGCTCATAACTTTTATAATTTGGGCGATGGGATAAGAAAGGAGTTTATGAGTAGGCATGTGATTGAGAGAAAGAAAAGCTCAAGGAAATGTTTTTCAAAATATATACAAAAAAGAAACTCGCACATAGGCCTACCCTGACAATGTGATGGGCTTGAGTCTCGGGATGGGATTTCTCGGATGGGTGACTCAAAACGCCAAGCCAATCCCCGTGACCAAAGGACTAAGGTCAGAGTTTCTCAGGCAAGAAGGAAACACTGGTGAGACTATGCGATGATCTGCGGCACAAAAAGACGCTTATAACCAGAGTCAACCCTGCGTTGCGCAGTTCTCAACGGCCACGTTGCGCAGTTTCGCCCGATTAGACACGTTCTCTCGCGCGAACATTCACACTCGCATGCTCGAGCCGTCTGCGTCTCCGCCCATACAGCGTGCGTTGAGGATCTCTCAACGTGCCGTTGCGAACTGCGCAACGCAGGGTTGACTCTGCCCCCGACAACCCATCAAAAAACACGTGAAGTTATCCACTGAAACCATAAATAGCTAGAATTCCCTGACCTGATTCTTTCTTATCTCGAGCTAAGATCTCAAAGTCAGCTTCATTGTTTGATGAGGTTTCAATGTGCAATTTTCAACACTCAAAAATAGGCATAAATAGAGAGGATTAAAAAAGAACAGCTGTATAAATACTATTAAAATAAGCTACAAATTAAGCAAATGTTAAAGGGAAGAATCAAACAGAAATTTTAAAATTAGCGTTCCCTTCCAAATGTTTCCTCCCATATTATATTATGATAAGATTATTGGCAGCGCTCAATTCAAACCCAAAAGCCGTATGTAGAATCCTATTAGTTAGGGACAAAGGTGACATAACAGTTATATACAACGCTTAATTAACTCGCATGACTCCATCTCAAAGATTGCATTTTGAAAATCAAAAAACTAGGTGAAAAAGATTATATTTATTTAAAAAGATAGTTTCAAGTTCAAAAATGAAGTCCTATGCCAGGTCGTGCTATCTAGAAGTTGTTGTGAAAGGTTGTATAGCGAAAACAGCATAGGGAGAAAAGGGGAGGAACGGAAGTCGTGAGCAATGGAGCAGGTCTGAGCGCGTATAATTTGGACATGGTCAATGAATGGCTAGCGAAAATAGGACAAGCGCTATTTGTTGGTCCAGCACCGAGCGACTTGGAACACCTAGTACCGAATACATAATAAGAGTTGAAAATGGCCACCTGTATCCACATTGCATAGCTCTACCAAATTCTGGGTAAGGGATGTATATGTAGGAAAAGGGTACCCTGAGTTAGAGGAGAGACGTTACTTCCTCCATCACACCTGGCGTTCTGTAGATACAGGTCATTTCGTCAGTTAGGTGAGATCACAGCCTTTCTAAAAAACGGCTTACCAGCTTCCATAACACCGACTGGTTTTCACGATCCACTTCATGGCCTAGAACATTTAGATCGTACGCCATCTTCGCCTTCCGATAGAAGAGAATCCCTTGCTTCAGATACAAATCCTTGAATGAAATATCAAGTAGTGAGATGCTAATGACAACTTAGGGCTGTGGCAACTAGTCGTATAGTAATATGCAGCAATGCTATAGGAGTTCATTAAAATCGCATAGCGCGTTAATTATGGGCGCGGGGGTCTGTGGTATCTCTTCCCATCCCCTTCAAAAATCACAATGGCCTGCCGTTACCCTAATATGGTAAAAGACGGTAAAATGCAAAAGTGGACTCAATTAGTGGTACCCATAAGGCGAAGCGCAAGCGCCGCCCGCACGAATTGGCGCAGTATACGATTTCAAGGTTTCTAACGGTTTTTTGCTTCGTGTAGCGACTGGTGAAGCCAGTCACCACAACTGCGTCCTTTGTTTGTGGCACTGATCTACACCTATTATTTTGCGGAAGATGCGCTCACATTTTTTATCCTAAATGGGACTGTCCAAGAAAACCTTAGTTGTGTGGAGATTGTACAGAAAATAAAGGACGGCCTTTCCGACACGATAATGAAACCCCACCACGACGTTTGTTTCACTTGCCTCACATGAGAAACAGGCCATTGCTCAAGGTGGCATTACCGCCCCCTGTGAAGCCCATCGCCCAGGTGCACCAGGTAATCAATCTGCGGATTCCATCAACTGGCATCCATCCACTCACTGACTACGATGAACAATGCCTAACCTTTATAAGAGAGCCGAAACCGCAAAAAAGTTTGCTGCTCAAGTTTCCTTTCCCACTGCATGTTCATCGACATTTATAAGTTAGCTTATTTGCTTATCATGTGTCTTGTAAACAAAATGGCAACAATGCGACCCGACGTTGAAGCGGCCTAGAGAAACTATCCTACGCGGGTTTCAACTGTTTGATTACATATTATTCAGAAGGCGCTGTAAAATCTATGGTGGCCATGTCAAAGTGTACATATCATACCATTCAAGATTTCACTTTAAGATTTTTTGGAAACTTTATCAGAAATCTTGCTATTTTCCGATATTCAAAATTCGTCGTCTTTGCTTCCAGCTGGCTTCACATGGGGAGCGTACTGGTTCAGTTTTTTGTCAAAAAGGGACTTGCATCAATCGCACCTACAGCAAAATCCGGATCGGAAAATCTGAGGGATTCGAGCAGTTGCGAAATTACGCTTTGACCAAACTCGTAGTGACGCAGAAATGATGTATACTCATGACGACTTGTGGAAAATTGTCGATATTTAGGCCAAAAGAAAATTATTCGTCGAAGACGTGTTTCAGGGCAAAAAAACCTTTTCTCCCTATGAAGCTATAATCAATGAACATTGGCAAAGAGTTCGCAAAACGTTCAAGTAATAACTGTCAAGTGATTGTGACATCATAATAGAAAAAATTATTCATTCATTTTTCAATTATTTATTTATTAGTTATTCCTTAATTTATTTGTTTGATGCTTATTTAATGATGCGCCAGTTACAACAGGTAATACGGGAAACTGAATGCCATGATTTAGAAAAGAAAAAATGATAAATGTTAGAACTATTGAAAAATCAGCCTCGTTTTCCATTCAAGTGAAAAGGAAGATTCTAGAAAAATCGCAGAAATTAGCAAGTTAATCATTTCCGTTCATTTGGCCTTCGTTCTTGGCTGGTTTTCAGTCGGTGGTACAGAGGATTTTCCAAGGTACATATGTTATGCTCTCTCTGAAAAATTCTGAATTATCATTCAGCAAAACTCAAAACGGGTTGGAGAGGGGCCGGTTAAACAAAAATTGATATAGTCATTGCGCCGCATGGCGTTGCAGTGGCATTGATTGGGAAGACCTTCAACTTCATCTAATAAATTCCTAGGAGTCTTCAACGAGAACGACTACGATTTGCTGGACTACAGTGTGCTAATGATCAAGCGAGCAAGCTTATTAGTTATGGGAAGGGTTCCATGTTACGGAAGGAATTCTATCTAATGGTTGGAGATCCATGGAGCTCTGAGGACCGGAAATTTCGGATTTGTCCGTTATGTCTAAAAAGCTCGAGTGACCACTCTGCGGTGTAACGTATGTCATCATCGGCTATTGCACCAACTGCCGCAGATCGGGCTTACTTCAACACTCATCATCATAAAAGCTAAATCCCTTCACAGAAAAAAATCTCGCGGTCATTCCACCGTTGCAAAAACGCAAAAGGAAACAGAAACAGAATCAAAACAGAAACACAGAAGAATAACAAACGACACCCAGTCCCTTCACCACCCCCCCCCCGTTCGTCCTCCCTCAACATCCACTTACATGGCCCTCTTCAGGAATCCCAAATACGACAATTATTCAACTTGACACGGTGGACGATTGACCAAAAATCCAAGCACTCTTACCGTGAGTATCACCGGGTACCTTGTAATTTTTTTTATCATTCCTGTCATCGCGGCTAGGGGGAGCTGAAGGGCGGGGGTGAGGGGTTGAACCAAACAACAGTGAGACTCGAAGAACTTCTGAGCGTTCCACGAATCTATAAAATATTTTAAATATTCTCTAGCGAACATATCGAACCTACGCTTTACGACCACCC